GCTTCCACACAAGTTTACGAGCGCTTTGCGAACTCGTTATTTGCTTGTCGAACAAATGCGGCTGTTTGGCGGTTGCCATGAAAAAGACTCAAACGAGCGTATAAAGTAATTGTGAAAGGCTAACTGTTAGCAAGAATTTCGAAAGAAAATTGCACGAAGTTTTAAAGAAGTTAACGAGTGTAGTTTTCGAACTCTATCTAACAGCAAACTTTAAGTTTTGTATTGACATGCAATAAGTATTTAATATGTATCGATAATGAAGATAGATGTATGTATATATACTAATAGAATCGGCTCTTAGTTTTTGAGCTATCGTTTTGAAATTTTGCACGCATCTGTAACCCCCTAAGAAGCTGCTCATTTTTAATTGCGAAAATATCTTCAAGAAATTTGAAGCGGCTAAAAAGTCCCCAACCTGACACATACGCTATGTTCTATGGATGGAGCTACTAGAATTCGGTTGTTACCAAAGAAAACATAGAAAAGGTCCGCAAAATACTTTTACCTGACCGTAAATTAAAGTTGTTCGAGTTAGCAGACCCTTTTAAGTTATCAAGCGAAGTCCACTCGACAAACATCCAAGTGGAGTGCACACAATGAACCCACTTCAAAGCATGGATAAACAGTCAGCTAGCAAGGTTATAGTGTTTGTATTTAGGGATGCGCATGGAGTAGGGAAGGGTCACCAAGAGCGACTATGACGTCGCTAACGTTACTGGACCGTTTGTAGGACGAAATCACCGAAAAACTGCCATATTTCAAGGAAAGAAAAGTGCTGTTTCCCCAAGGGAAAGCACCGTGTCACAAGCCACTGAAAACGATGATCAAAATCCATGAATTGGACTTCGAATTGCATTCGCTTCCATCAAATTCCCCAGAACTGGCTTCCATAGACGGTTTTCAGATCTCAAAAGAATGTTCAATGGGGTGGAATTGTCGTCGAATAAAGAGGTTTTTGCCGAAACTGACGCTTATTATGAAGCAAAGGGCAAATCGTACTAGAAAAATGATATCGAAAAGTTAGAGGGTCGCTATAGTCAGTGTACCACCTTTGAAGGGAACTATGTTGAATAAAAAAAAACGAAACTTGGCCAAATGATGTGTTCTACTATGGTAGATCAGGAGCTTTTGATTGACTTAATAATTTTTATAAAAATGCTAATATATAAGTACTAAATATATACTATATATGATTGGAATACTGGTGACTGGCTAGTGGCGACGTACCTATGCAGAAAAGGGCTGACAGATCGAGAAGACTGCAGAAAATGTTTAGAGGAGGCCACGAGGGAAACAATGGAACATCTTTTTTTGCAGTGTTCCCGCATTGGCAAGATTAAGTTGTAAGCATCTGGCGTCCTCACATTATGATACACTGGAGGAGGCATAGAAAGTGACCGATAGACCGCAGATTCTGTTGAAATTCGCCTGAAACGCAGGTATCCTGAAGGCTGACTACTCCTCTTAGACCTATCAACTGAAACTGGTACCGCCAAATGCTCTATGCGTGGCTTAGTAGCCTACCAGTTTAGCCTAGCCTATAGTTTGTATATATATGGTAGATATCTACAGTAAATATTCGCAGTTTTGCTTTATTGTTAGGCACTTTAATTGTCAACCATGACAAAAACAAAACCAGCATCAGCATCCACGCACAGTCAAAACAAAATAGCGTTTGACCTGCTTAAAACAACAAGTTGTGTACCAAATAAGCTAATGGCATGACATTTCGATTTGTGTACATGAAACTACAACTCAACGCAGTGCAAAAAAAATATTGCAACCAAAACACAACATTTGCACACCTCACTTAGAAGCTGACCACCCCTGCTACTCGCAGGACAAATTTAAATGAAACTAACTATGCAAACATGCCGTTATACATATGGACAAACTAATTAATGCAAGCATTTGTCTGTTGGCGCGTGTGACTTTGCGGTAATTACAAAAACAGCGCATAGTTATACCCATAAATGTATGAGTTGGACTATAAAATCAGTTATTTACAGTAGTTGGAATATTTGGCATACTGGAGCGCTGCTTTGCAAATCGATTTGTATTTTTGTGCGTGATTTGTAATCAATTTTTGCGGTGCGTAGGCTTGCCACAGTTACGCAAAGGTATTTGCAATCACGTGCTGCCGCAGCTGTGAGTGCGTCGCATAGCATAGCATGCCGGCAAACATATACTAGATTTATTTGTAAACAATTTGTGAAATAAATTGCAATGGCGCGAGGTAAACATGTGGATGCACAGCCATAATTTAACACGCGCGCGAATACGAGCATGAATAACATTATGTAAAGCAAGCGGAAATGAGTGCATTATGACTTCTAAGTATTAAAAAATAATTCAATTACTATTTATAATTCAAAATTTAGAGAAACTATGGGAGAACCCTTAACTTATAACTCGAAAACTGTTAACAAATACAAATAATTCCATACAAAAATTTGATTTTGATAGTTCACTTTGTACGGCAGCTATATGTTATAGTTAACCGATCTAGACAATTTCTCAATATATTGTGGCGTTGCTTTAGACAATTATTCGTGCCAAATTTCGTGAAGATATCATGTCAATAAAAAAAGTTTTTCATACAAAAACTTAATTTATATCGTGCAGTTTGTATGACAGCTATATGCTATCGTCATCCGATCTGGAAAATTTCTTCACAAATTGTGACCTTGCTTTCTACAATAATTCGTACCAAATTTTGTGAAGATATCTCGTTAAATAAAAAAGTTCTCCATACAAGTACTTGATTTTGATCGTGCAGTTTGTATGGCAGCTATATGTTATAGTTAACCGATCTACAAAATTTCTTCACAAATTGTGACTTCGCTTTCTACAATAATTCGTGCAAAATTTCGTGAAGATATCCCGTTAAATGAAAAAGTGCTCTATACAAGTACTTGATTTTGATCGTGCAGTTTGTATGGAAGCTATATGCTATAGTGGTCCGATATCGGCGGTTCCAACAAATGAACTGTTTTTAAAGGACGTGTGCGAAAATTCAGAGTAATGTCTAGAAAACTACTATGTACTTAGTATATAACTTATAGTGCAACCGACGCTTACTTTTGTTAGCCACAAAGCCTCTTGGCAAAGCTAATCGAGTAATTCGTGCATCAACCAAGATTTATCGACTACGATTTCTATGGCTGTTGCGAATTTTGCTGCTACCAACTAATTTGCAAAGATGTACCTCACTGTCACAGAAGAGCATCTAAAAAAACTTTGCTAAAGCGAGTTTCATGGGAAAACTTAAAGTTTATATCCAAACGTATAGTTTGCCGGCAACGGCGTTACATGCAACGTTAAATGCGCAATTTTTGTTGCTCTGGTTGTTGTTGCTGCTATCGACTGCACTGGCTGCGGGCTGCGGGCTGCAACAGCTGCTGCATATAATGAGATTACAATCATAATTTATCATAAGGGCAACAGCTGCAACAGCGACACAACAACAACATCAATCATGCTGACAACAACCAGCAGGCGTAGTGCGTTAAAAAATAGATTTTGAATTGGAAAACAAAGTCGCGTGCTGATGCATTTTTGAAAATATTTTGCAAAAAGTAGGAAGAAAAAAAAAAATTGTCGAAAAAAAGTTGGCGTTAAAAAGCGCCTAGGATTACGCAGCGAAAAGGCGTTCAGAAGTGACAGCACAGCGAATTGACATGCAAAAAATGGATTAATTAAAAAATTCGACGAACGCCAAGCCAAAAGAAGCAATAAATTTGCGATGCGCCGCTGGTACGTGATTGGCATTTCGGCTGCGTCAGCGCGGCACTGCAGGCGAAGCATGTCAACGAGTAAAAATGCAAAAATAACACGATTAATTTGGTTGCAAAAACAAAAAAAAAATTAAATTAAATAAAAACATATAACAAAATAGTAATGACAAGCCAAAAAACGTGCGCTCTGTGGGTATTTTTCTTGCATACCCCCAACAGATGAGATACGGATTTTGCACTCATACAGAGTATATTATAAGAGATATCGCTCTGAAATTCTTACTCAGATTTTTTTCTCTAAGAAGCTGTTTATTTGTCGAAATGGGCGATATCGGATCACTAAGCATATACATAGCTGCCATACAAACTGAACGCTCGAAATAAAGTGTTTGTATGGAGAGCTTTTTCATTTGACGAGATATCTTCAAGAAATTTAGCATGAGTTATTATTTGAGGTATTGATACAATCTCCCAATAAATTGCTGAGATCGGTCTACTATAGCATATAGCTGCCATACAAACTGAATGATCGCAATCAAATGCTTGTATGAAAAACTTTTTTATTTAAAGAGATATATTCACCAAACTTAGTACAAATTAATCTCAAAGACAATGATACCATCTCCGAAGAAATTGTTGAGATCGGACTACTATAACATATAGTTGTCATACAAACTAAACGTTTAAAATCAATTTCTTGCTAGTTATCATGCTATTTGTGAAGGGTATAATAGCTTCGGCGCAGCCGTATCTAAAGTTGTTTTTGTTTTTCTTGTTTTTTATTGTTTCTTCTGTGCACTGACATCACACGGTGGCTTAAAGTCTATACTAACATTGAATTCAACATCGTTTACCGTTTTGTATTCTTTCGATTATTTCAACTATTGAATCAATAGTCACTTCAAAGGCCGCGTACACAAATATTTTTCACCAGCTATCATCGAGTGCTTTGTTGCTGTGCTGACTTTTTAACCTTGCAACCGGAAATGTCAGCTGAATGCGCAAAAAGAATTCGAAATTCGAGATTCGGAACAAAGTGTGTGCGACTATGAGCCCACAAAGGAATAAAAATTTCGGAAGCAATGTTGTTGTAGTAAAAAAAATGAGTGTATTCAAGTAAATATTATTCTGAGGTTGTACTTGTTTTTGCGCGCATAATTTCAGAGCAATACAACAATAGAAAAAAACCAAAAAGTACGCGTTTTTATAGCTTACTATAAAAGCTTAGTTTGGGTGCCGGTAGTACCAGTAGCACGAGCGCAGCCTTATTGGGAGTACCACCCACTTGAAGACAGCACCAAATAAGTAAAGTATACACGCAGCACACCAGACACGCAGAACATAAAATGCGCTTAACCAGCTTCTTACTGCTTGCCGCGGCAATCGCGGTTGTTGCGGCAACTCCACTTAAGCGCCTCAGCACATACCAGCGGCAGCGTGTGCATTCAGCACGTCAGGTGCTGGCAACCACCGCGCAGCCAGTGCAAGCGCGCACCGGTTACCCGGCAGCCGGCTTTCGGCCGCAAATACCCTTCGAGTTGCCAAGTGAACGCAAAACGACAGAGTTGCCAGCAGTGAGTAGCACGCCTGGGCCAGCTAACAAAGTTACAACAGCACAAGCCGAGAACGCAGCTGACTCGGGTGACGTAAATGTGGACATTGAAGTGATTGTCGAAGGTACAGACGTAGAAGAAAACGAGGAAAAGGTTGGAAACACAACCGAAAACCCGAAAAGCGACGTTGAAAACGACGTTGAGTTGCAAGTGGAAATTAACGAAGAAACCTCAGAGGCCGCAGTAGAAACGCACACGCCCGCAATCGAATATGGACCGCCTGCGGTCGATGCCGACACGGTCGAAGTACCCGCAGAGCACTTTCAACCACCCAATAAGGATGCCGAAGAATTTGCCGCCAGCAATCCAACACTCGACGCGGACGTGGCCATTGCTGCTGGCAGTGCTGCCACCAATGTTGACGCTGATCTTCCCGCTCAGCCTGTTGCTGATTTTCCGGCTGTGGCGGAGGAGACCTTCACGCCTACTGTGGCGGCGAGCGATGACGATAACGCTGGCGTAGCTCCCATCGACGTGAGCGGTGAATTGGATGCCGAAGCAGCGGAGCAACCAATACCGGCCGCAAGTTATGGTCCACCAACCGGCGTTGATGAAGCAGAGTCACGTTTGCCGGCGGAAACTTATGAAGCACCTGGCGCTGAAGAGGCAGAATCACGTTTGCCGGCGAACACATATGGTGCACCTGGCGTTGTTGCAGTCATGCCACCCGTGGTAGAGGAAGAAGACTTTGGTGTGGAGCTGAACGAGTTAGAGCCAGCGCCAGCTGCCGAAGATGCCGAATTGGCGGCAGAGCAAATTGAATTGCTTAGTGAACTTAGCGATTTGCAGAGCGGACGTTTAATTTTTGTGCCCTCCGATGGTGGCAATTTGCGTCAGATCTTCTTTGCAGCGCCACCACAGCAGCGACGCACCGACCGAAACGGTCGCTTAGTGCGTGTTTAGAATAAGACTTTAAATGTAAATTTGTTTTTGGTTTCGCAATAGTTGATTGCCTTGTTTATATATATGTGTAGTGTTCTCAAGACTAAAGATCAGTGTTAATAAAAGTTAAAACACAAACTCAATTTCGTTACTGAAAAGACTTCTAGTAGGACCTGTCCTCAATTCACACTAGACTGCCTGTATGTATACAGTATATATAGGTTCGGGACTATAGCTTTCAGCTACCTTTTTCCACAGTTTGATTAAAGATGAGGTTGAGGGTAGGAGGAGACTTTTGTCGAAGCTCTCCTTGATCTCTAGTTTCAGGATTCCAAACCACTGTAGCGTATTTCAAGCTGATGATGATAAGGTTTTGAGTAACATAAAGAACAAATATCTGTTCAAGTGAGATCCATTGATTTTAAATCAATATACCAGCAACCTGTACCAAGATATACCAACTACCAAAGCCACCTAGTGGAAAAAAGTGGAGAGAAATAAGAGCATTACAATATGGAGGCAACAGTGGCGAACCTCATGTGAAGACAGTAGACCCACAGACCGAAATTCATTTCGAGGAGGATATTGTCATGTGTTGAAGTGAGAAGAGTTCCCTTAGTGGAATTCACTTGGGAGTGACAAGAAATGAATCATACGGCTCAAGCAACTTCCGGTCTTAGACCAAGTATGCTCTGGGAAGCCGAATAACATCCGTTTGAAGGCGAGGTAAAAAGTGGAAGCCGAACCATCCCGCCACGTAAAAAGCGCCCCCAATGAAAAATTACCAACAGCCTCGGATGAAATACACCCCTATTGATGACGAACATGGTAAACACATTAAGGATTACGATTTCAGGGCATTCACCTGGAATTTCCGGTCCCTTAATTAGGAAGGTGCCGCTGCCCAGCTGGTTGATGTTCTCTTTAAAATAAAGGCTGGCATCACTGTGGCCAGTCCAATGGACATAAGGACAGATAAGAGTAGGTCCTTATAGCATATACTATAGTGGTCATCTGAAGGAGCGCCAATTGGATATGGTATGTGTGATGGGAGAGAGTACTGGCTTCCATTTCCGTAAATGAACGTCTAGATTCAATGCGCATCTTTGTTCGCATTGACCACTGCGAATGTCGTATTCGAAGGAACGATGAGCTGTATGAGATATACGACGCTATTGACATAGTTCAGCGAATAAAAAAAGAGCGGCAACGTTGGCTTGGTCATGTTGTCCGAATGAATGAAAACACTCCAGCTCTGAATTTTGCCAACGCGGTAACCGCCGGGGGAAGCAGAGTAAGACTCCACTCCGTTAGAAAGACTAGGTGGGGAAAGATCTGGCTACGTTTGGGATCTTCAATTTTCGTTGTCCTAAACTCGGCTATAACTTCGCGGTTTCTATCTGGTTAGGACACTTATTATGGCGGCAATGCGCGCTAGAAAGTCTTCACATCTGCAAAAGTGCTAAGTTCGCACGTAACCCACTGATGCCTGGAGGTTTTCATTCTAAAAGTACTATATATTCACAGTACTAAAACCAGTTGGCAACTGCAGTTTATGGCATTAAGTATTTTGGCCACAGTCCCAAAGTGAATCAAGTTAATTCAACCAAACATTTCGTTGCAGATTCCTATATTATTTCTACGCTGATGGCCATTAAATTCGCACAATATTTCTGAAGGTATTCTCCTATACCAGCAAAGCTGCAATATGAGCGCTCATTAGACTTAATCATAACCATTTGCCGTAAAAACCGCGATACATACTCATAAACTAGTGAATGGCAATACGCCAAAGAATCTACATTTGCATGCGTATACATATATGTTTGTTTGTATGTATATATGTATGAATATGTATATGCCACACAGCTGCTACTTCGAAAGTTGCAAAAGTGTACTCCAAGTGCCAGTAATCGGTAGTGGTTAGTGTTGTAGAAATATATATTACATTTCCCACTGTTTCGCGTAGCTACCGCCGCGCGTACACACGACACTTTTGCCACCGGCATTAGCGTGCGAGCGCAGCAGCGAGAGCTAGGCTTAAAGGAAGGATGAAACATTAAATAAATCTGCGTCGTAGATTTGAGTACATTTCTCATAATTTGCGCACGCTACAACAACAACAACAGCAACAGGCATAACAACAACTACTTGTACAATAACATTTTACTACCTTGCTCGCATGTACTACCGTCCGTCCGTGTACACATTTTTCAGCTTTCCCGGCATGCGAGTGCAAATATTTCACTGGCACGACTGCACACATACACACACATACACATACAAGCCAACAAATGGGCACAAGTGTGTATCGCGAGTACTCAAACGCACACACACACTCTCATATGCGTATGTGTGACGAAAATGGCACAAGTGGCCGGTAGTGGCGAATGAAAAATCCAACTGCCGTCTTCATTCATAAATCTTTGAAAGCTAAAGCCACCAGTAACTTGTCAGCCGAAAAGCTGTGCGTGTAAGTGTGGGATTTAGATGTGTGCAGAAATATGAAATTTTGGCGTGGCGCTTTTACCAGCGCAAGTATTTCGCCACTACGTGTTGTGGGTGAGGCTGGCAGGAGGACGCGAAACAAGATGAGACAATGCAGGCACAGGCAGCAGGCAAGAAGGAAGACTATGGTATAAATGGGCTTAACTAGCCGCATGGCAGCCGAAAGCTGCTGCGAAGGGCTAACGGACGTTAAGCGAAGCGCAAAAAGTGAAATATTTGCTTTAGTACCTTTTGCCAATGAAAAGCTTTGACTGTACAAAATTGCGCACAAATGGTGCACTTTGTAGTTATACCCAGTATGCTAGCAGCAAGCAGAGTTCAGGACATATGTATAGCATAAAGGTTATATTTTTAGACATATGACCAACAATTTTTCTTCATTATAAAGATAAGGTTCAGCAATCATGTTTTAAGAACGAATACGGCCAAACTAAAAGTAATTTTAAAATGGATCGCTGGGCTAAAATTTATTCGAACCAGTCGCGTTACCAATTTTCAATCACTTTTTGCAACAATTGTAGGCCGTATGTCGGCAATAAAGAGGAAAATATTATATTCCAAGACGTCAATCGCCTCGGTTTTATCTTCGCAGATATGCGAGTGTACATAACCTCACAAAAAATAGTCCAGCGGTATGAAATCGCACCATCTTGTAGGCCGTGTCACAGACCCACGATGAAAAATAATGCCTTTAAAACATAAATTTTTTCGTTGGCTGTGTCGCAAGTGGTGCCGTGGCAAAGGCCTAATCATGGATCTATAGCGTTGTAGTTGTTCACCGCTTGGGTGGTAAGGTCAGGTTAGTTGTCAATGAAATCATTTAACGGTAGGCTCAAGAAACGGTTTCGTGCGGTTTTGACAGGTTCGGACCATAGTGAGAGCGGTGTTTGATGAATGAGGTTCGCTAGGCATGCAAAAAGGCGTTTAGCGTCATGGAGGAGTCCTTGTTCCAAGATGGTGGATTCTGTATAAGTATGAATTTAACTTGCTTCAGTATCCAAAACGAAGTTACACAAGAGTTACACTAAATTCTCGGAGCAATTCGAGCTCTTCGTCTGCAATGAGTAGAGATTTGAGTCCAAGTATAACATTCACTGCAAGCGAGCCAGTGAAAGTGGTGATGGCTCCGCTGTGAATGTCCGTCAATACATGTCTAAAATTTACTGCATTCGAAGTTTGGATATAACCGAGTAAGCCGTGTCTTCGCTAATAAAGAAAGAGAAAAATCCAAAGTCTGGTCGATGCCATCGACGTATTGACGGAAAGACTTCATGCTGTTCCCAGGGGTCGAACTTGATTCAAGAAGACGACTGCAGTTACGGTTTTTGCAGAAACATTCCAACTGAAACTGTTTGGAGAGAAGCTTATTGAGTTCCTTGAGCGGAAGCTTGCGGTTTTACTGTGTAATTGGTTGACTGAATACAGCAAAAGACATTCTGCAATCCAAAACGAAGTTACACAAGAGTTACACTAAATTCTCGGAGCAATTCGAGCTCTTCGTCTGCAATGAGTAGAGATTCTGTCTCTTATACACATCTAGATGTGTATAAGAGACAAGTTACGGTTTTTGCAGAAACATTCCAACTGAAACTGTTTGGAGAGAAGCTTATTGAGTTCCTTGAGCGGAAGCTTGCGGTTTTACTGTGTAATTGGTTGACTGAATACAGCAAAAGACATTCTGCAATCGTTCGGAGTGCAGTACTCCGACACGTCTAAGGCTACTTCGTCTACGTTTCACAACAACCCGGAGGAACATATTGCGGTGAGGTAATTTATGGTGAGCCGGATTTTTACACGACAGTCGTGTCGACGAAACCGGAACAAACCGCGTTTCTTTTATCTGGCTAAGAACTTTCAATTCGCCAGTAGTCTGCCGCTACAACAGCAATAATCGACCTGCGCATTGCTTACTTTGTGCAGCCTTTCCCCAGAAGCTGGCGGCTAGCGACTTAACGATTCTCTTTCGGCTCTGTACTTTTGCTATAGTCGCGGTCGTATGAGAAGTGAAAGAGCTTAGGATGGCGAGTGTAACACCCAAAAAGGTGTGACTTGTTAACAGTCTGTACTTCGTTGTCATGTTAGAAAATGGGTTTTGGGACTTTGTGGAGGAGGCTGTCAAGCTCCTTTCAAATTAAAATCGAGAAATGTTGGAAAGATAATTGTTTAGTGTTCCACATTGAATTTAACATTATAGCCGGCTTTAGTTTTGAAGAAATATGGACCAAAGATCTCTTCTTGCCATAAGATAAAAAGATGAGAATTTTACCGCGAACTAAGGTCTTTTGCGCCCTCTTGCTATAAACAAACAGCAAGAATACAGTAGCTGTAAAATGATGAAACTTCGAAGCTTCATATCAGCATAAGAAAACAATGGACTGATAATGTCATGAATGGTATATGAAAGATATGAAAGCCACCCTTGTTGAGGTTATAGTTAACAACACCAAAGCATTTAATGTTTATAAACACAAAGCTGGAAAAACCTTCAGAAAAATCAACGGAGTACGTAGAGCAAAACTTAAGGTCAGCACTTAGCTCATCTGCGACACAGTCTGTATTATGTGCCACACTAGATGGCAAATGAAAAATAGAAAAAAATATTACAACAAAAAGCCTTAACAAACAAACATTTGAA